AGAGACAGACAGACAGACAGACAGACAGACAGACAGACAGACAGAGACTGACAGACAGACAGACAAACAGAGACTGACAGACAGACAAACAGATAGAGACTGACAGACAGACACTGACAGACTGACTGACAGACTGACAAAGACTGACAGACAGACAGACAGACAGACAGAGACTGACAGAGACAGACAGAGACTGACTGACAGAGACTGACAGACAGACAGACAGACTGACAGGGACTGACAGACAGACAGACAGACAGACAGAGACTGACAGAGACAGACAGAGACTGACTGACAGAGACTGACAGACAGACAGACAGACTGACAGGGACTGACAGACAGACAGACAGACAGACAGAGACTGACAGAGACAGACAGAGACTGACAGACAGAGACAGACAGACAGACTGACAGAGACTGACAGACAGACAGACAGACAGACAGACACACAGACAGAGACTGACAGACAGACTGACAGAGACAGACAGAGACTGACTGACAGAGACTGACAGACAGACAGACAGACTGACAGGGACTGACAGACAGACAGACAGACAGACAGACAGAGACAGACAGACAAACAGACAGAGACTGACAGACTGACTGACAGACAGAGACTGACAAAGACTGACAGACAGACAGACAGAGACTGACAGAGACAGACAGAGACTGACTGACAGAGACAGACAGACAGACAGAGACAGACTGACATAGACTGACAGACAGACAGACAGAGACTGACAGACAGACATACTTCATATAAATTAAGAAATATATTGAAGTTACAAAGAACAGAAAGCCGTAGTTTTTACCTGTTGCTGGCCACTGGTAGAGCGATCTCAAACTTAGCCAGGAACTGGAAGTACTGTTCTTCTGTTTGCTGGGTGAATCTGGTGCCCACCAGCAGCATGCGCAGGTCCTCGGCCTTGATGACCCCGTTACGGGCCACAGAGCGTGAGCCCCTCAGGTTGATGATCCGCTCCAAACACTCAGACAGCCACACAGCATCCAGGAAGTAGAGCTTACACAGGCCATGACTGGTGTCGGAGAAATGTAGCATGGTGCCAGTCTCAATGAGGAAATTGATCGCTGTGTGATTCACAAAGAAAACCGCTTTAATGCAGCTATACTCAGCCCACTGAATCCTGTTTCACTTGGAAATACACCAGATTACAGAAGTCAAATGGGTTGCAAAGAAGTCAACTATACAAATTAATTTGAGGAACTGTAAATTAAATAAGATGTCTTTTTGACACAATATGTTGTTACTATGAGAAAACGTTGTTTTAACAATCTCATTATTACAAGAAAAGATATTATTTAAATAACATCTCATTATTATGACATAATTAGCCTTTTTCACACTTCCGTGTTTCTGGCTTCCGGATTGGCGCTTGCAGGGTCAAAGTTTTTCCGTTGACAACTGCGGCTGTACTTAACAAGAATGAGTTCGAGAATCAAAGTAGAGATTATGAAAATGCTTGAACTGCTGGTACTTTACTCTACAAAGCGCAAACATTTCACAATTAACTTTTTGCGTCAGCTCGGGTCATCAAATACAAGTTTGTTCAATTCTAAATGGTGGCAGTTATAATTCAGTTTTGCCTTTCTGTCCGTTTGGTGCTGGCTGTGCATTATGACTCTCCACATGAATGTTTTCGCGTTTTTATTATTATTATTATTATTAAAGTAATACTGTATTTTCTACTTGCTCTCCTTTGCATTATTAACGTGATGGTTTAAATGCACGTTGTATAATGTGCCCTGGGAAATAAATATTAAACAAGAGATGACTCGGATTCTATTGTATCAGATTACGTTGTTGTGTTGAGTTTAATATGCTTCAACCGAATTCAACCGGAATTGTTTAATGTATTCTTGGAAAAAATGTGCATCTGGACATAAATGTTGTCATTTTTAAGTAATTTATCATGTGGTGATTCGAGGGAAATGACTGAGTAAATTGAGATAATACGCTCAAATGTACCGGAGATCAAAGACTATATAAAAAGGGATCTTGGAGATGGAGAATAGAAACCATCCGGCGCTATGTTGAGCATATTATCTCACGAGTCAGCGGTCTGAGTGGCCATATAAGTTACTAACAAGTAAAATGTTATTTCTTTGTAGATTATATAACAACAACTTGGAAAACAGACAAAACAGAAAAGGTAAGAAGCATTATTTGAGAAAAGGGCATACTAATATAATAGGCGCAGACCTGTAATGGAACTAACTTTACCCTGCGCTGACGTAATTTCTCATTTTTGTGAAAAAGGCTAATTGAGTGGAAAAATAATATATGTGGCAGCAGTGCACCACCATAAGAAATAAACTGCAGATGCACAGACAGAGAAAAATATAAATAAATTACATAACTAATGTGCTGGGCAATTCTTATCTGTATATAAAGATCTAGAATGTTTCACGCTATGAATTTACAAATTTAAATAGGAATTAAAACATTAAAATATAAAACAACTTTTTTTATTTCAGGTAGTTGCCAAGGCAACATTTCTCATTTTAATTTAGTTTAAGTTGATGTACTAAAATAACAAAAATGAAAATGAAATAAAAACATTAAAAGTTATACAGACATAATGAAAAGAAAAACTACTAAAAATGACACACACACACACACACACACAGACAAAAATCACTTAAAATGTAACAAATTAAAATTAAAACAAAAAATATTAAACAATTAAAACTGATTCAAAATATTAATAAATAAACATGATAAATATAAATGATAAAACATGAACTGCTTAATAGTTGCTTAATGGAGTCAATACAATAAAATCAAATTAATTAAAGTAAATTAATTAAATAAAAATGCAATACATATAAATACTTTTACTTAAGTTAAGAAAATAAATATAAATATGTATATTAAAGAATAAAAAATATTAAAACATACTGACATATACTGATACATTTTAAAACACATATTAGTTTTTGAAATTATTTTTATAAGTTGCACTACCTGCACTACCTCTCTGACCAATTCAATAAATAAATAAATACTTCATATATGTTAAATATATATATATATAGAACAGAAATATAAAAATATGTATCTTAAAAATAAATATATTTGTAAATATTTAATATATATTAAAAAATAAAAAATAAATGATTTAATACATTTATAAATATTAATTTATTACATTTATAAATATACATAATTTATTTTTATTTTTGCATTACCCGTCTGCAGATCCTCGTAATCTTTAATATCACTGGCAGGACTCTGCTCAATGATCTGCTCCAGTTCTGAGTCCGTCAGGTACTGGACCTCATCCACTTCATCTCTCCTCAGACGTTCTGCTTTTATGGCCTCCTGCAGGGTCAGGTAACTTTTGGGGATCTGTATAAAACACCAAAAACAGACATCAACACATGGGGAAAGAAGCTAAGATAATACTGCAGCACAGCCTCCTCACGCTCATGATTTTTCTTGTATTTCTCCTGATTTTAAGTTGCTTTGAATAAAAATATCCGCTAAATGAATAAATGAAAAAAACATACTGAAGATTTGAGGTGGAACAGCAGTATGTTTCACGTCAGCTTTTACATCTTACTGAATAGATGTCAGAAACAACTGTCATTCATGCCATACATACAGGCTTAACTAACACTAACCAGTCTTCCCACTAGTTTGTGACAGCTAGCAGGGTTGCTGATGTCCTTCATGGAGCAAGCGACCTGAAACAACAGCCTCTTGAGTCCGTCCATGCCTTCCAGCGTCTTACACGACACCTCACTGCCAAACAACAACACATTTTTCCATCCAAAACAGATTTTCCATTGAGGAAAGTAAGCTGAAGTTATGATAATGAGACTAACTGGAGGTGTTTCCATGTGATGTCGGGGTATCCGCTGGCCCGCGCGCCCGACGGGGTTCTGCAAAGTGCCAGGATGTAGGCCCTCAGTGTGGCGACGCGCTCCGTACGAAACTTAGTGTCTATGAGGTCCAGATGCGTCCCAACGACGATGACAGCAGAGTTAGGAGCGCGAGCCTGGAGCACAAACACATTCAGGGTCATGCTGTAAAACCAGTCCATCAAACAAATGACTTACACAATGAAAAGCTCATGCCAACTTTGTGTTTGGAAAGAGAGTGTTTTATGTTTCTATATGTAGTGTTTATATAGATGTTTTTCCCCTTTCGTCATTAAGGATTTTTTTTTAACAGTGCCCACACCTGCATTTCCAACTTGCCTTTGCTGTATTAGCAAATATGCTCACTTTCACTCTGTACAGGCTATATTTAGATTTTAGTTGACCTTACAAAAGCTTTAAGTTGTGAATAGTAATAAACTATGCCATAAATTAAAAAAATAAATATAATAAGTGTATGTAATATATATATACACATATAAAATAAGAACTTTATTCATTTAGTTTGCAATAGCAAAATTAACTTTATCATCATTAAACTATTGCATGAATAAATAAATAAACAATTTGTTTAGTGTTTGTTTAGTAAATAAATAAATAATGATATATGTTATGATATATGATAAGTAAATAAAATAAATAAACAAATAAATACACTTTTTAAAAATGTATTTATTTGCAATGCCAAAATGGCATTTATTATCATTAAACTATTCAATAAATAAACTTCATTAATTTAGTTTGCACTGGCAAATGCTAATTATTGTCAAATCAATCAGTATATAAACATTATTAATTTAGTTTGCAATGTCAAAATGATGTTCATTATTATTGAACTATTCCATGAATAATAGTTAAATACTAATGTGACGAGTGGGGGCGGGGCTGAGAGCCGTGGGAACGGAGCGAGGCCGGTGGAGCAATTGATAATGAGAGACACCTGCATCAAAACCCAGGCCTGGTCCTCTCTCCTTTCACTGTCGTCACTCCTCCTTTTATCCTTCCGGAGCTCCTCCGTGGGACTCGAGACCGGTGAGTGGTGCAGGTGTCGCTCATTATCAATTACTCCACCGGCCTCGCTCCGTTCCCACGGCTCTCAGCCCCG